AAAAAAAAAAAAAAAAAAAAAAAAAAAAAAAAAAAAAAAACCAAGCAAGCATTCTCATTTTAATCGCGAAACGAATTAAACAACAATCGGTGCCCGTGTTCTTTCGATTGTGCTAACATTAAGGAAATGCTATATAAATCGCACTTAGAGAATCGATAAAGTATTGCGTTTTTACCACTATTCTGCGGTTTCAAACAGAAAACCAACCATTTTCATCAAAAAACAGAAATAAGACACAAATAGTATGTCTTCAAAGATATTCTTGCTTATCACTTACAATAGGAAGTGCTATATAATTCACACTTAGAGAACCGATAATGGCGCGCATTCTCTTCATAATTCTCAGGTTTCAATTAGAAAAACACAGATGTCCACTAAAACCAAAATATCAATATAAAAAACCACGTTTAAAATGATTTCCTCGTTTGCCATTTTCATTAGGAAATGGTACATAATTAGCACTTAGAGAACCGATAGTGAAACGCATTCTCTTCAGAATTCTCAGGTTCCAAATAGAAAAACACAGATTCCCATCAAAACCAAAATACCAAGATAAAAATAGCACTTTGCCATTGCTTTTCTTGTTTACCATTTCCAAAAGGAAATGCTATATAATTTGCACTTTGTGTTGGGAGGCATTTTCTTCATAAGTTGCAGGATTCAAATAGAAAAACACATATTTTCAACTAAAAACAGAAGATCAATATAAAAATCGCACGTTTAATGATGTTCTTGTTTACCATTTCCAATAGGGAATGCTATATAAGTTGCACTTTGAGTTGAGAGGCCTTTCCTTCATAATTCTCAGTTTTCATATAGAAGACACAGATTTCCATCAAAAGCAGAACGTCTAAGAATCTGAGGGTCGGCGGATGGGCATCAGCCACCTGCATGTGAGATCTGTTAGATGAGTGCACTCTCTTTTTTACACATCGCTCTGTCAACGCATCAGCAAAGTCTCAAGTGCACAAGTCAAATTGCGCGGCAGCAATATCATAGATGTTGCAATCGTAATCTACTCCATCTTCTGCTTTTCGGTCAGCCGCCTTGCTGGCTCAACCAATTCTTCCTGTTTCAATGAGCGATAACACAAGCTTGGATGCTCCTGCATACTCAAGAGAAAAATAAAGCTGACAACATCGCACGTCCATACTTCATATTCGACTGGTTCCATATGCGGTAGCTCTTCCTTTATCATTTTATATAGCTGTTTATAAGAGAATCCAGCATATTGACACATCGGTTCCATCAGTCTGACATTTGGCCCTGCTAATTCGCATATAATTGCGCCCGGCACGTCGATCTCAACATCATATGCAATAAGTAGCCAAGGAAGAATGTGCACTGTCCTGAAAGCACCAACGCCTGTAACATTTGAATGTTGCTTGAACGATTCAGCAACGATGCAAATATCTTCTCCGTTGCGTCGAATTCACGCATGAAGTCTCGTACCCAGTCAGTGTGGCACCCGTAATTGACATTGCAAAGCAGAGCACTACGTTTTACTTCAGATGTTGAACCTTCTGCAATTTTCAATATTTGTTTTCATTCTCCGCATTCAAGATGACGCAACGCATTTTGTCGATTGTAAGATTGCTCCAATCATCGCCAAAACATTGTTTGATTGTTCGTTCATGATATAATTTTGACAGAGGTGAAGAACGCCCACTGGCTATCATACATAGCGTACTTGTAATGCACCACTCTCTAAATTGAGTCCGTCTACATTTTCGCGCAATGCTTTAGGTACTGGGCCCCACTGAACACGAAGATTGCGAATCTGAAACAAGTTCATCATTGAAGAGATACACCACGTGCTGTTGCCCATTGCTTTTGTGACTGCACACGTTTGTAACTTGCCTGCTTTGCTATACAATTCAGACAAGACAAATTTGTGATCCCGCACCTACTTAACAGATTTGGATTCGCGAGTATCTGAAATATCTTGCTTCGCATTTATTCGTGCTCTTTGCATCCAGAGCGCCACCCGAAAGTTTGCTGCTCGGCGACAAAAGCCCCCATCGCTCGTGGGCGGCAATTGCCTGACAACATGCACCAGAAAGGTGTCTGGGTTTTCGCCCATTGGGTCATCGAGATATCCACGCCCTGTTCTTGCCGCATCACTTCTGTCTCCTTTGCAATACTTGCATAGTTCATCGCGTGAATTGAATTTACCGACATCTTCAAATATGCCTGCTTTCGCCATTTGAAAGACAGATGCTAGAAAAAAAAAATGAGCCGGCCGGCCACGGAATGCAAGCACAACACATGCATTGGAGCAAGGAAGATACGCATCTGAGAAGACATGATGAATCGAATAGTTGAACGCTGATGATTATGGTATGCACGGAATCAAAATGAATGATTCTAAGACAGCCCTCTAAACCTCCACGACGGCCGCGGAAGCTTTGCTGGCGACCCAGGAGACCCGCGCGAGGGGCTTATATGGCCTCAAAGGCTATAGTATAAAATATTATTTCCAATCTTGCCTTGCAAGGTG